CACATTTTCTTCTTGTAAAGAAATGTAACGGACCTCCTTCAACTCTAGTGCACTACTGAATTGTTCCAAGCTGGCTCCTTCACTAGCACTCAACTTTAATTCTGGCATTAGGCATTCCACCGCATTTTCAAGCTCGACAAATTTTTCATTGAGTCCAGAGAGTGTAAGTGACAAAGCACTTGCTGCATCACCCACCCTCTCCAAGAGAAATGCTGCTGCGTCTATAATTTCATATTCCTGACAGAGGCGTAGACAGTGTTCCACCCTGTAGCTATCAAAGGTTTCCAGGAATCTCAAGACTGACTTCGGTTCGTACTTGCATAATAGCTTTAACAATACAAAGAGAATTATCAGCATAAAGGATACGATTATCTTGACAAATAAAAGACAATAAAAAATTGACTGCGAGAGAGATTCAATAGAACAAGTTTTCATAAGTGCTTTACCTCCAAGTAAAGCTCAATCATGTCATCAGTCACACTGACTGGATTATCTTCGATGAATTTGGGAAAGCCATTAAGTCCTTCCAAATATATTTCAGTCTCTTTGGGCATACCACTCGTAAATTTTTCACCGAAGTCAACAGCTTCATGTTTTCTTAGACGAGAAAAATCAATAGTCCCAGACAAGTGAACCTCAATGACAGTCTTGAGATAAAGGAACAAGCTTCTTGGATGAGAATGGAGCTGCTCTTGAATGCGTTTTATGTTGTCTTTCAGATTATCAATGATCAGGAAGAATGTTCCTTCTCTGCAAAATGCCAGACACTCAATATTCTCAGAGTCCACTAGACCTGATTAATAGAGACAAAGAATAAAATCCATCTACAGCTACCTGCTTAATTCGAGGAGCTCAGGAATCCTAGAAATTACTGCAGATTGAAAGGCAGTGAATTCATCTCCACTCAACTGTGACAGCATCTTGTTCACATAGCAAAACGAATGTATGGGCTCATCTGCTTCTTGCATGTAGCTATCTAAAGCAGCAACATATCGTTGACCGATAGTATGAATATAGCCACAAACCTGGAAAGGAAATCATAAACAGAGATCACGGAGAATATCCCAAAGTGATCACTGCAAGTACGCTTTAAACGAATGATGAATGTCTACCAAGAGGATACCTGATAAAAATGTGCCTTCTCACAAAGCTGCGATACATAAGCCACATCCCAATCAGATTCCGGTACAGCTTTCAGAAGGTTTAGTAGTTGGTTCTCTCTCATTTTAGGAGACCGATTATATATAGGAAGAATGTGATCTGATGTTAAATAGTCTAAAATCTGTGCCAATACGCTCTTGGGAATACTAACTCTACCACGTGCTGCATAATATGCAACAAACTCAAATACATGACTTGTATCTTCCTTGGAGGGCCATTTCTTATCTGATTTTGAATCATCTGGAACGCCAGATTCATCAGGTTGACTTACGCCCCCATCAAGAACATGAACTAGAGCATCTAGCAGAGTCTGGATCAGCATATCGTTACATCTAACTTCGGGCATACTGCCATCAGTCTTGGACTCTAAACTTCCTTCACCGGACTCCAGCAGATGATTCTCATGATTCACCGTTTCATTTTCTGCAAATGCATATCTTAGGACATCTAAAGTGGCTTCAGTATCCATCTCTAGCAGATGGTAGAGGTTCAAGTAAATGCATCGTGATGTTACGCATGTACTAGAATCACGGGTGTTTGATTTCTCCAGTAGAAACTGAATCAGCTCGGTCCTAAGAGATGGCAAGCGTGTAGGATTCAGAGTTCCATGTCCTGCAGATAAAACTCAAAATAAGCTGAAGCTCGTACAAGGAAAATGCCTATATAAGTTTATAGGTTATCGCTGGATACCATACTCGGTCTATTGAAGACCATAATAAGCAGTGTAACCATAGTAGAATCCTACCTGGTGGAAAAGCCAAACCAAGAAAGCAGTACTTTAGATAAACGAGCATCCGGTACCTGAAAAAGAAACAGAGTTAAAACAAAAACTCGTCACTTATGCGGCTGCAAACGAATTATAGGATTAATTATACCTTTTACAAACAAAACAATAGTATTGCAATTAGCTATATGCGTAGGTGAGTTCTAGGATTAATTTCATGTTAGATGGAAAGGAATGGATCTTTTTGAATTCTAGGTTTTTCTCTAGTCCACAACTACAAGCAAGGAGGCAGCTCTCAAGTTCAGTTTTGGACGCAAAAGTTTATTAGCCACAACAAAGTGCAACGACCACATAACATACCCAATGGCTGTAGCCCTTTGTCTCTCACTGTTCAGTAAGACAATCAAGAGCTCCTCCAGAGGTGACCTAAAATCATCCAACCCTTTGTTGAAAAGATAGAGCAAGGCACCATAAAGCCCATGCTCACGGCAAATTCTGACAACCTAAGTACCAATGAAGATGTCAATATTCAACTATAATTACTACATCAACACATAAATGTATTGAAGAAAAAGAGCAAACGGTACACATGAACGTGACCTGATTGAAATCTAGGGAAGAAATATCCATGTGAAGAACACACTGCTCAATTCTTTGCAGCCATCCTTTCTTACTATAATGTTCTACCAGCGCTTGCATAATCTAAGATGAAACAAAAAATCATAAAACAAATACCACGACACTCTTGAGGAAATATCATATAATTGCACAAAAGATACCTCTGGAGGAAGAGATCCAAGCATATCTTTTAAAATATAAGGCTCCAAGAGCTCCAAAAATGTATCTAGACAAACCAGAAGTAGTTACCGCAATGAACAACGAGAAAGTAAAATGTCTTATCAGACACAAGGGATTAAGAGTGTCATCAAAACTAGACAACCTATAAGGATCTAGTCACAATCCTAACGTGGTAAATATCTTTAGAATGTTTAAATAGTTCAATGATACTGAACCTCATAAAATTTAGCACCAAATAAGCAAGTTGATGGATATACATAGAGATCTGAAAAATATACCTCTTTGTTGTACAGCCACAAATCTGGAAAATATCTCATCAAAGAGCAAATCCATCCTGTTAATATGAACACAGAATTCAACGGCAACACCACCAACACGATTGTATTGTTCTTCTATCTCTAAGTTGACACTGTCGGTTCCACTGGTTGGCTCATGAGTTACTCCATTTTTCTCATTCTGATTGGAAAATGCTATTGAGATATAAGAAAATACTTCATCTACATAGGAAAGTAGCAACTCTGCTAAACTGGGTGCTATCGCTTCCCTAATGGCGTCCACAGTTTTGGGAAGGTCAACAACCCCATGAGCTTGCCCATTAAAAAGTGACATTGCCATGTTAAAAGCACCCATCCAGTCACCTCCTCTCCTTAAAACATCAACCCGTTCCTTCCATGGCAAAAGTCTGGAGATAACAAGATGTGCATTCCCGAGAATGTATACTGAAGCCCCTCTGACACCCACAGAATTGTGATAAGCTTTCTCAGGATTTCCAAAGACATTCGTAAAGTAAGTATGATAGGCAATCAGGTCATTCCCTGAAGAACCACCCACAGAAAAGTTCGTTTGGTGAATTACCACACCATCTCTTGTGAAAAGATACAAATGGCCCGTCACAGTTGGGATCACCAGCAACTGGATATGCAGAGAAAAGCAGAGAACTCATAAATTTGCATTTGCTTAGTAATATATGTAAATTGGTATAAACACCTGGTCATGAATTTGCATTTGCTTAGTAATATATTTATATTGGTATACACACCTGGTCATCCAGCCAAACCACGCCAATAGCTGCACTGTCAAGTGACCATTTGGCATATTCCTTTAGGTCTGATTTTACCAACTTGGCAACTTGAACTCTACGATCCCAAGCAATGGCAAGAAAAGAAACCCTATCTTCTGCCTCCTTAGAAGAACTTTCTAAAAATATTTACTAAATCAATGTTAAAGTAAAACAGTACAAGCAAAGTACACAGTTTTACAGGGAGAAGAATCATGGTTACCCATTGAGCGTTTCCAGGCAGTGTATGGCATGGAACCCTCCCGAACCCCTTCTGGCCTAGGAAGTTGTGCATACACCTCCAAAGTTGGAATAAGCTTTACCTAAAGCAAACAAGAAGAGGATCATTTCCAGAAGCGTAATTGGTAAATTGAATATGAACAAATATCTGGAATTTTTACCACTAGTCCAGTTTGATAGGTGGCAAATATGACAACACCTTCTTCATCTGAAGGTGAATCCTCATTAAAGAGCTTCCAACTCGAATCAACCCCAACAACACCTCCCATCATGCTAGTTATACTGCTGGATGGAACTGCAGTGTTACCCCCCTTAGAAGAGACCAAGGAGCTTCCACTAATTTCATCAGGCAGAGGTGATGCCGAGAGGACTGTTCCATTTTTCTGTCCATCGAGAAGACACTGATGCAATCCAAATAAGACATACAAACCCATTCCTAAAAGTCAGTAAAGATGAAAAAGACACCAGTCAAAAAAAAGACAGAAATCACAAGCAAACATAACTTTACAAAATACTATACATTACCTGTGTTTTTACTGAGTACATGTTCAACAGCAGAGTCCAAGAGAAAGTATGTTTGAAAACAACACCCTTGGTATCACTTGTAATTACTTTAAATTGGCGAGAACCCTGGGAATCCCGGCCAAGAAAAAAGGCATATACTACTGGTGCAGTGTGCTCAGTGATCACTTTTGCTATTGATGCTCTCTGCACGTCCCAAACTGTAACATGTCCATCATAATAACCGGCTAGCAGGAGTCCCCCCAACTGATTGAAGCAAACTGAGGTAACCGGGGACTGGGATCTTTCTCCTTGTAAACCAAGCCAAATCATCTACAATTTTGTAAACATAAATGTGAGTACTTTAAGCACATATCTACTACCCAGATTATAATAAAATTCTCTTGTAAAAATAACCTAGAAATTGACATAAGTAATGATGTAAAAGACAACCTTTGATTCCATTTGATCTGCAGTATCAGAAGAATATTTACTTGGTACAACAACGATGACCCCCTTGGACGTACCCACTGCAATAAAATTCAAATGAACAGCGAAAACCTGAGGAGAACCATGGTCTCGCTTAAATGCCTGGGATGAAATGGTTCGACTGATGAGATTGTCAGCGTCAACATCAAAGTAACCCAAATTCGTCGAACCGACCTTAACACCCTCAAGTCTCATTGGCTGAGCAGCAGCCCCTTCCTCCCAATGCAAACCAGTATATGCTTGTTTCTTCTCAAACTCTTCAGCTAAGACAAGCTGCTTCCTAAAAGACCGCGATTTTAGTTTCTCTCTTTTACTCATCCTTTCTTTTTCCAACTCCCCAATCCTCTCTTCTACAAGCTCTGAAATACCAGACATCGAGCTTCCATCATCACGAATTAAAGCATCACCTCCCTCTTCTTCCTCTACTTTAGAATCCGGTATCACTACATCTGAATCATCACTCTTAGCACCTCCAACACTTAAGTTCTCATCATTGCTTACCTTATCATCAACTGATAGAGAATAAGGAAAGCACTTCCCATCAGAATCCACCAAAGAAGCGACAAACATTGTGTCATCTTTGAGGCTATCATCCACATCAGCATTTCCGGTTTCTCCTGCGCTTGGCGTCTCTTGTTCTGCAGAGACTAAGTCAGGCTTAGACTTTGCCTCATATTCACAGGTATCAACTAAGGTCTCAGTAATATCACTAGCTTGGACTTCCATTACTTTATCTTCGTTTTCTTTACTTGCAACAACCGGAACTCCATAATCATCATCCTCCAACCGAGATTCTTCACCGAAAGAACGAAATTCATCCACAGAAACAGATCCAGCAGCAACTCCAACAACAGAATCTCCATTAGAAGACAAAACTTCTTGATCTTCTTCATCTGGATTCGAAACGGATTCTCCAGTGCCCAAAACCTGATGCAGCAACTCGCTACTCGCACTGCTAGCTCTCCTTGACTTGATTATAGCAGCGTGAGGCGTAGGAACCAATCTAGAAGCAGCAACAGCCGCCGCAAGCGCCGCACCTGGCTTCACATTCGACCGTACTCCTGCAAATAGCGACGGTAAAGGCAACTGTCTCAACGAAGAAGAAGTCGATGCCGAATTTCGCCGCGTCGGAAACCCGCGAATTATTTCAGATTCAGGTCTAACCGAAACGTTAGAAAGGGCTTCTGATAAGCGACGAGTCGGATCGTTTTGATTCCGCCGGCTGCTAACTAACGGCGGAGGAGAAGATGACGGAGATGAAGAGCTAGACGCGTTGAGAATTTCGTCGACTGTACGGTGAGGAACGGAGGAAGAATCCAAATCGGATTCGGAGTCGGAGTCAGATACGAGGAACGAATTGAGATCGAGTTCCATTTGCGATGACTTCTTCATACCGATTAACTGAGTCCTCTCGTGAACTTCAACGTAGTGAGATTATAGCCGTTTGGTTCATCGAACTCTCTCGCCGGAATCAGACTCCGAACATTCTCCGCCAGCACTAGCCGAGGTATTAATTCAGCTAAATTGAAGTCAATAAAGAAAACAAAATGGAAACCTTCTGTATGAAACTGAAGGTCCGTTATAGAGATTTGTTTACATGTAAAACGCTAACTAGAATTGAGTGTTTAAATTTAGATCAAACAGTTAAACGCGATTTTATTTTGTTTTGATTTGCGATTTCCCAACACTTATCATTTTCACAGTCTTACGTTTTTTCAACAATATTTTACTTCATTATAGTTCTCACGTTTTGAAGATCAAAATTAGTAATTAGGCTATGAATTATGAAGAGTTGCAGGCAAATACAACTAGTGTAAAATGGTAAAATCAAATCACATAGCAGGAGAAACTTATGTATTATACATAAGCTAACTCTGATAAACTACTAAGAAGGATCATGATCCAAGGCTAACTCAAGTACATGATATAACAAATGGATCAAACTGTAGTAGAGTAGTCATGTCGAAAATGGCACAAAACTGAAAAATCTCAAATCAACTAAAGCAATAGAACATAGTGAAGTGTAAAAAACAAGGAGACATCTAATCGAACAAGCCGAAACCAAGATCTCCATCGCTCTCTTCTGCTGGCTCATCCTACAAAACAATTTAACCAAAATGAGAATCAATAACAAAAAAGTTGTTGGAACACAAGCAAGACAATTCTATAAGAAAGTGTTTGTTTTTTAAATTTTGTACCTTCTTCTCTTCCTTAGCAGGAGCAGCAGCGGCAGCTCCTCCGCCACCAGCAGCTGGTGCAGCTGCGGCAACTGGTGCACCGCCTCCACCACCACCAGCACCAACATTCATGATGAGGTCAGTGATGTTCTTCTTCTCGGCCATCTTGGCGAAAAGCATAGGCCAGTAAGACTCGATCTCAACACCAGCGGCTTTGACCAAAGTCGCAATCTTATCAGACTATTGACAATAAGGTTAAGGATAATGCCACAAGTTAATCAAAAATAGACATCAATAACCAAGATTTGGTCAAACACATCACTCAAACTGATTCTACAAAATATACATGTTTCTTAGATTCATGTGTAATGAGCAGAGATTCAAAAGAGAGCTACATAAACCCTAAAACAAACTCATTACCAACAGCACATTAATTACATAACCCAGAAATGAGTACTTCGAAGTCTAGACGATGATAATGATCCTACCAGGCCAATGAAAGAACAAACGGTGAATAGCTAAGGACATAAGATTTAGCAAATGTCTAGATTTAAGGATACAGTGATGGCAATGCCCTCGTCCTCGAGGATCATAACAGCGTAACTGCAAGCAAGTTCTCCAACCGTCGACATTGTCTCTGCAACATCGTAATAACAAAAACAATAAACAACAGAATCGAATCTCAACAACGAGACAAACACATCCAATGATTATCAAACTAACAATAAAATTGAAAACTGTTCACTAACCAAAATCTGAGGGGAAAAATCACTAATCTATGTGTATCGTAAGAGAACAATTAAACCGAGAAATGATGAAGAAACTGTAACGAAATCTCAGAAATGTTGAAGATGAAGAAGTACCTCAGACTGCGATTTAAGGCCTCGGCGAATTTTTTCGGTGGCGCCGCTTGATAGATCAATTAGGGTTTTGCTATGCAGCGACAGAGAAATTTTGAGGGTTATAAATAAACCTAATCTCCAGAAAAACTTTAGGGTAGGTAAAATCTTAAAAGGCCTGTTTCAAAAATCGTCAAGACCTTTGAGAAACTGGGCCTTTGTTTTTGTCGATTGGGCTTTGATATAAGGAAGCCCAGATAAAGAATGGAATTTATTGACCAGATGTTTTGATTGATTATAATGTAGAAGGACACGTGTATGGTTGTAAGGAATGACCACCCTGGTCCATCACGCACCTGATGATGTCTCTGTCCTTTATCTGGCTCCATGCACGTGATAGCACGAGACTTAACGCACCAGTTCGATTGTAGTACTCTCTCCGTCCTACAAAGATGA